ATGCAAACGACAAAAAGTTTTAATCCTTGAATCAAGCTATGCTGATTATATATTAACTAGTTCTCTTGTCAATCGATAAAGCAGCTTGGACATGGCCTCAAGACTTTATAGAATTATCAAAGACAATTACTAAGTAAAAATCGCAAAAGACTTACACTTGAACAGGGAATTTACGCTATCCTCCAGCCCCAGATAGGCGGGAAACATTTTATCAAAAATGCTGGGGCAATTTTGCAGCACCGATTTGGTGCCCATCACCTCGACCAGCTGCTGCAGCATCAGACAGACAGATGGGAGTGGCATGCGATGACGTTCGAACTGTGCATAGACCTGTCCAATGATGTTCGTCTGTCCGGCGGCATTGGCATGCTGCAGCACTTGATGCAGCATATTGGCACACATGTGGCGAATCGATTCGACGCTGCTCGAGATGTGCTCAAGGGAGAAGCGCATCAGCATGGCCAATATCAGGCAATACATGATCTGTGCACGATCCTGCAGCTGTATAAATGCCAAAGATTTTGAATAGGTGTGCAGATGCTTGGATAAATAAACCAAAAAATTGGTAATACTGGCAGAGCCCTTGACCTGATCCAATACACGCTTCAATATGTCCAATGCCTGGGCCGATCGGCTGGCATAGTCGCTTTTCTGCAGCACCAACAGCGATGCTGCCTTAATGGGCAGTTCGTTAAAATCGTTCAGCTCCTGGCATTTGGTCAGGTATTCATCAAAATCATTGAACAGTCGCGCATTGTGACCGATCGACAGGCCGGCTATGGCGCGCACATCCCACGGCGTGTCCACGTTACGGGCCACGCACTCGGCCACCTCATCGATGAATCGCAATTGCTGGCAACGCTCCACTACCAGCTGAAATTTGTACTCAGTCATAAAGTTGACATGGAAGCGCAACAGATTCTGTATATATAAATAAAACTCATTGCGACGTGTCGGCGATAGCTCCGCGCCCTGCTCACTGCAAATTAGAATCAATTAGTGATACATATTAGATTCAAGCAGGAATCAGTATTAACTTTACCAAAAGCTAAGCTACGCTTGCCTACCTGATGGTCGTCCAGTACAGGCGCAATGCCTTGGGCACCAACGGTATAAAACAGTATATCTCCTGGGCGAGCGCATCGCGGCCAAACGGAAAGTTGTGCAGGCAAGCGCTAACCGAGACGAACACATCGTTCAGGAAGTCGGCGTGCACGGTGCTATTATTGATGCTCATCGCGAGGTAGCGCAGTGCAGCACGCAGGGCGCTCAGTAAAATTTCCTTGGTGTGTGTTGTTTTGCCCCTTTTGGTGCACTCGCTGTTTGAGAAGAGCCTGGCCGAAAGGAGTCGCAGGTAAAATGAAAGCAACTCGCCTCAACGATAAACATTGGATTCATACCTGGTGACTACGCCGCGCACGGGATGCTTTAGGGGGCACACGAATAGCACATCGGCAAGAAAGCCAAAGGCCTGTGGCTCCTCATAGATTTGTTTGACAATAGACATTTGTTTGGCACAGTTTGTGGCTGCCGCGAATTTCAGCACGTAGTCGACTTGTGCTAAACAACACGCCAGAAGCTCGCATTTAAAATGACTTCAATTTGTGTAGATACTTGTACTCACAATTTGACCACTTTGGCGGCAGCGGGACAAGTGCGCCGCGCATCTCGGCAAAGCGTTTGGGATGCGCGCACAATTTGAGGGCGGCCACGCGCAAATTTAAGTCATTCATTTTGACAAACTAAGTAAATGCAATTGCCGGCAGAAGCAACGTGCTGACTTGCTTATTAGAGAATAAATGATTGTTGACACTTTATCGATATTCCGATGAGTATCGATTACCACTGTTCGCGGAATAACACTTGAAGCATAGTGTTGCAAAATGTGTTAACATATAAATTGCATGAGTATTTAATATTGTTTTGTACGAATAGAACAGCGCCTCACACAATATTTATATTTAACTAAAACACCATCAGGTGCGATTTCTCATAATGCAACCTTTTATTGGCAGTTTACTAGACTCTTAGGAAAATATGTTGCTGGCACATCGAGCTTCATTCAATTTATGCGCGCGTGTCCAAGCAATGGATCACAGCTCTAGTATTCAAATTTGCCAATAATTAACTATTTATAATATGCAGACATTGATAACTAGTAATGAGTCTACTCTATTCCAGTCACAAACCCTGTTGTATGCTTTTTCTTATAAGTCGCATTTACATCCGTGTTTTAGGTTTATTACAATGTATTCATCAATTAGAAACATACAAGTACATGAACATAATATGCATTTTTTGTGCATCGTATGTTGCCAAATTTACAGACGGCGACCACGACGACCTCCCTTCCTGCGTGTAGAATCGGATGGAATGGGTGTGACATCCTCAATGCGGCCGATTTTCATCGATGAACGTGCCAAAGCACGCAGTGCGGATTGGGCACCGGGTCCCGGGGTCTTGGTCTTGTTGCCACCCGTAGCACGCAATTTGATGTGCAGAGCAGTAATGCCAAGGACCTTGCACCTTTCAGCCACATCCTGAAACGTTCACAAATTGAACAGTTATTAGCATAAATGATGTGGACATTCATTCTGTCAATAGGAAATCTAACCTGAGCGGCCAACATGGCGGCGTACGGGGAAGCCTCATCACGATCGGCCTTGACCTTCATGCCGCCGGTGACACGTGCGATGGTTTCGCGACCGGACAAGTCGGTAACGTGCACGAAAGTGTCGTTGAAGCTGGCATAGATGTGGGCAACGCCGAAAACGTTCTCGCCATCGCGCACCTGCGGTCCCAGCGAGACCTGCACTTCCTCTTTCTGAACTTTAGCCTTCCTGGGAGCCATTCTGCAGCAATTAAAGACGAATCAGCAACTGTTGGGAAGAAGTATGTACACAGTTCAACAAGTTGTTTTCACATTTTTCAAGCTATGCACATGGCAGCTTCGCACAGGCACATACAAAAAAATATATAGAAGAAAAAAAAAAAAAACAAAACAAAAAGTTGCCATTGGGGCACGGACACAACGAAACAAAAACAAGAAAACTTGCTGCAAATCTGCTTTAAATATATTGCGCTTATTGCCTGTTCTATAATTCATGTTTTTGTTTAGAAGTTATGGCTTAAAAACGTATTTTTTGTATTAAAAAAACGAGAGAATGTCACAACACGAACCAATTGCGTGAACCGGATATTAAAAAAGAAGGCTATGTAGCAGCTGTCACTGGGGGGTTGCCACTCAATTCACAATAGGCATGTGAGCTGTCAAAATGCCCATGGTTGCAATGGCAAACACACCATACACGCAGCTATCGATAGGTGCTTATCCACTGCAATAAGAGTCCGTGACGTCAGACCGTATTAGTATTTATAAATTTTAATAAATAGATGTGCAAACATAAACTTAAGATTTTGTAAATTAATTTAATGCTTAATAAGCTTAATTAGTTACTTAAAATGTCAATTTGCAAGCTCTTCCATTTTGTGAATGATAGCCAAACTAACATGGCGTAATCTTGTACATTCGATAACTGCTAACTGCAACTAGTGCATTCGATAGAAGTCAACTTTTTTTTGACTGTCACAAGGTATCTTTGGAACGGACAAGGAACGATGTCGTGGGTTTCGGACTACCAGTATACTTTTATACAAAAGATAGCGTTCCAGGCGCTACAACTATCCGGCCACATACCCCACCACATTGCATTTGTTATGGATGGCAATCGACGATTCGCCCGCTCCAAACAACTAGATAAGATTGAGGGACATTCGCGTGGCTTCTCCAAGCTGGCCGATGTGCTTCGATGGTGCCTCGATATGGGCATACGAGAGGTGACCACGTTCGCCTTCAGCATTGAGAACTTCAAACGTTCCAACGAAGAGGTCGAAGGTCTATTCAATCTGGCCAGAGATAAGTTCTCCAAGCTGCTGGAGGAGACCAGCCGCCTAGATGAGCACGGCATACGAATCCGAGTGATTGGTAACCTTCTATTGCTGCCGGCAGATCTGCAGCGGCTCATCGCGACTGCCATGTTGCGCACTGAACGCAACGACAAGCTATTTTTAAATGTCGCCTTTGCGTACACCTCCCGCGACGAAATCACACAGGCCGTGGAAGCTGTCCTGAGGGAGGACGAGCAAGCTGATGATCCACTGCAGCCCACTGATATCAATGAGCGACTGCTGGAGGCGTGCCTATACACGCGCCACTCACCGCCACCGGATCTGGTGTTTCGCACATCCGGCGAGACACGACTGAGTGACTTTATGATGTGGCAGGTGTGTAGCCTATAATATTGGGTGCAGCATCAGTAACGATGAACATCTTATTGTTGTCTTTCAGCTGAGCACATCTGTGCTGTACTTTACGGATGTGCTGTGGCCACAGATAACCATATGGAACTTTTTGGCCAGCATTGTTGCCTATCAGCGCGACAGGTGCCGCCTGGAGGATTACAGGCGTGGGGAGCGGCTGCATAGCGTACAACTGGCCAAATCCAGTGAATTCTATAGCCTGCGCGTTCAGAAATTTCTGCTTAAGCTGGATGCCAATCGTCGGAAACTATTGATTGCCTTGGCTTCCAACTAATGCCAGGCGAATTGTTTATTGTTGTGATAGGGGAATAAATTAAATGTAAATAATTTAAATTCGTGTACCTGTTACTTGATACAAGTCTTTCAAAGCAGCCGGTGAATGTTCTGACAATATGTTTGATGAATGCCAGATACAATTGCCATTAATATATACGCATGGCCATTATCAGAAAATGTTTTATTTTGAATTGAAATATATTTCGATTCTTTTGAATATCGCAGTCAGTTATTTGGCACGGTAAGTCACAATTTATAATATCGCTTGGCTCTAGTAACGATTAGGGTTACAGGCAGGCCAATCTACAGCATTCACAATTAACAGCGGATGGTATGCGATAGCTATCGCGCAATCGATTACTCTCCCATGCAAATACGATAACAAAATCCGCTTGCAACTCTCTTCTCACATTGGTGGTAATTGCTGAAATTACCATCTTGCAAAACTTTTTTTGTTGTAAAAATATATATACAAATACACAAGAAAAGTAATAGGCATTAGTTTTTCATAAAATAGTGTAAAACAAAGTACACTTTTAGTTAGCTTTAAAGTTAGTTTTCAGTGTTAAAGGCAATTAATTTCAAGCTCTAGCTCTAGTTTTCTTACACTAGGCGTGACGACGAAAAAATCGACAAAAAAAAAAAACAAATTGTCTCGAAATCCGCATAAAAGATTTACACGCGACCGCATCAAGTACGACGAATAAACGACAAATATTTTGTTCAACGTTTCAAAGTAGATCAAAATTATTCAAAGTTAACAACTAACACGAAAATAAAGGGTAAGTAAATGTGCTACGATTTGTGCTTCTGTATGTGTGTGTGTGTATATACATACATATGAATACTTTGTGCCTACGTGTGTGTGTGTGTGTGTGCGTGTGTGCAGTTCTGCGTGTTGCTCTCTTTCTATTCATTTTTTTTTCTTCCCTTTTGGTCGGCCGCTGGCGATGCTGTATTGATTTTTTTTTGCGCGAGCGGTGTGCCGCATTAGCTGTTGTCGAAGGGGGCGAGCAGACGCCAAGGGGCTCGCTGTTATGGTACATTTTATATGCAGTTTATGGAATTAAGCAGTAGAAACGAATGCTCTCGCCGCTGTGTGCTTCAATTGCAGGCGTTACTAAACTAATCAACACTTAAGTGCAATTCCGCGACAAAGGTATATTTTACATGCATGCATGCTTATGTATGCATGTGCATATATGCATATATTTATCAATGCTGTATAAAATGTCTGCATGTGGTTGTTCGGCCACCAGACGACTTGATCCTGAACCCTGGCTCAGTCGAATCACAATAGTAATTTGTATATATTTTTTATATGTACATAGTTGCATATGTGTACGCATTAGTGTTTGTTATTCACCTGCTCATGTGTATGTGCGTGTGTGTGTGTGTGTTTGTGGTAGCCATGTCACATGTTATTGTGATGTTAACAGCATCGAGTCTGCAGTCATTTTTTATACATACAGACTTCAAAAATGCAAAAAAGAAAAACATTAGTTTCTGTCAACGTTGCAGAGGAGTATGTTAGTTTTGACATTTTAAAGTGACATATCCATGGAGTATGATGATATTGACAGCATCAACAGAAAATTCGATATAGCCGATAGTCCGTCTGTCAATTTCTATGCAAAAACCTAGTCTCTCAGTTTTTGATAGAAGTTGATAGGAATACTTTGTTTATCAAATAAATAAAATAAAAAAAATAAAAAAAACATCTTAACCCTACTTACAAATTGCGATTGTGTTCGTGCACTTCTTACATTTTTGGCACAAAAGCTAGCAACAAATCAGGTGGGTAACATCAGAATGTTGCATACAAAAAAAAAAAAAAAAAAAGAAAAGGAAGAAACTTTTCATATAATTTATTTGGTACTCCAATTGAAAGTGTATATGTGAAATTCCTTAAATTTGATGCCTGGCTTCGGCTGAAGCCTATGCAGTTTCTAGATTATTTATTTAATGCTGGCGCATGATAGACAATTAAATATTTAAGTAAAATTATATTCAAAAATAAATATTTGTTAAGTAATATTAGCCAGGCAACTTTTGCTTAAACCATCTCATATTCAAAAAGTTTCATATTGATTAGGCAGGGGGATGGGGGGTACTCTTAGCTATTTTGTATATATTGCATATAAACAAATAAGAGGCATAAGAGTAAACTCTAAAGTATGCTGAGAGTAAACCGCAGCGAACAAAGTTCACATATTTGTGTGACAGTTGGGCATTGCAATAAATGTTATTAACATAGCACTGTTAATACTTTGCTGTCAACTTAATTGCAGGGATTTTTTTTCTGTGCTTCATATTTTTTTTTTTTTGGATTTATGTTGATTGTTATTTGTTTTTCCTAATTTATTTTTTTTTTGTCCTAACCAGGCGGACTTTAAAAAGCGGCAAAGGAAAGCGTAGACGGCAAAGCAACACACAGACACACAACACACACACACACACACTTAAATCAAAGGAAAACCCACACGCAGTGATCGGAAGAACAATGTACGCTGGCGCATATCCACCAAACGCTGGCGGCGTCCAGCAGCAGCACACGGGCGGCTACTATGGCAACGGCGGCGGCGGTGCAGCTGCTGGCGGCGGCAATGGACCGCGCCATGAACGTCCATATTATCCGCGCAATAGCTTTGCCGGCGCTGCTGGCAATGCGGCGGCTTTGAATGGTGCCGGCGGCGGCGCCGCAGCTGGAGGAATGCATTTTGGCCAGCCGTATGGCGTCATGACCTATGGTATTCAGAATGGCATTAGCATGGGCGCCGGTGGCAATCCGTATCGTACCGGCGGCGGCGGTGGTGGCAATGCCATGCAGAATGGCGCATTTGCTGGCGCCAATGGCATAGCCTTTCAGGGCGGACCCCGTGCCAAGAATCCAAACTATACGCAACGCTATCAGAAGCCTCACAACGGCATGGGCAATGGAGGCGGCTATCAGGGCGGCGGCGGCAGTGCCAATTATAATGCAGCCGCATTGGGCATGTTGTCGAAGGAGGAGCGCGCCGAATTGCAGCGTGAGAAGGCCAAAAATCCAGGACGTAATTTGGTAAAGCCACACTGGGAGAATTTGCAGCCATTTCAAAAGGATTTCTATATTATGCATCCAAATACAATGAATCGCAGCGAACAGGCTGTGGCCGAGATGCGTCACGAGCTGGAGATAACCGTATCGGGCAATGAGCTGCCACATCCGGTGGCCAATTTCGAGGAGTCCTCACTCCCGCCCCACATTATCGATGAGATGAAGCGCCAGGGCTTCACCAAACCAACAGCCATCCAAGCACAAGGCTGGCCAATTGCCCTGAGCGGACGTGATCTTGTTGGCATTGCCCAAACGGGCTCCGGCAAAACTCTGGCCTATATGCTGCCCGCCATTGTGCACATTGGCAACCAGCCGCCCATTATGCGCGGCGAGGGACCGATTGCTTTGGTGTTGGCACCCACACGCGAGCTGGCCCAGCAAATTCAGTCGGTGGTGCGAGACTATGGACATCTGTGCAAGCCCGAGATACGGCACACATGCATTTTCGGTGGCTCCTCAAAGGTGCCGCAGGCACGTGATTTAGAGCGCGGCGTCGAGGTTATTATTGCCACGCCAGGACGTCTGATTGATTTCCTTGAGAATCGCAACACCAACTTGCAGCGCTGCACATATCTTGTACTGGATGAGGCCGATCGCATGCTTGACATGGGCTTTGAGCCCCAAATACGCAAGATCATCGAACAAATACGTCCGGATCGTCAGGTTGTGATGTGGTCGGCCACTTGGCCCAAGGAGGTGCAGGCATTGGCCGGTGATTTTCTCAACGATTACATCCAGATCAATATCGGTTCAATGAATTTGTCGGCCAATCACAATATACGACAGATCGTTGAGATCTGCAACGAGAACGAGAAGCCACAGCGCATGGTGCGACTGCTTAAAGATATTGCCCCAACCACCAACAATGCTGCCAACAATGGCAACAAAATCATCATATTTGTGGAGACCAAAATCAAGGTGAGTTGCGTCTATTCAAAATCACAATTCCTCGAAGATTATATTTGCAAAAGACACTCCAATTTTCTTATAGCTTAGAAGATACGATTCCAGCAAGGCAATTAATCGAATTAAAGCTTGCTCTAAGTTTAGTCGGTTATTAGACTTTAATGCAGATGCTTTATATTTCGGGATTTAGTCATGTATTTACTATTTTTGGAAATGTTAACGTAAGCCCATATCCCGACAGATCTGAGCTTAGCTCGTAAGTGGCTGCAATTGTCAAAAGCTTCACACGAATCTTATTGGGTGGAACCGACATTGCGATACTCTGTTATTTGACGCCGATATCCATAGGTATATGTATATGCTAGCTTCAATAGACAGACGGACGAAGACGAAGAGGTGCATTAGTTACTTGGTAGAAAATGTGATCGTAGCACTACCCATACATAATTGGATTAGTCGTAAGCCTTACTAAACAATTGCCTTTTCGCAGGTGGAGGACATATTGCAGATAATACGCAGCGAGGGCTATACAGCCACATCGATACATGGCGACAAGTCGCAGAGTGAGCGCGATTCGGTGCTGAAGGATTTCCGGAACGGCAAGTCGAACATATTGATTGCTACGGATGTGGCATCGCGCGGCCTGGATGTGGAGGATTTGCAGTTTGTTATTAATTATGATTATCCGAACTCATCGGAGAACTATGTGCATCGCATTGGACGCACTGGACGCTGCCAGCAACTGGGCACGGCATACACATTCTTTACACCGGACAATGCCAAGCAGGCACGCGAGCTGATCTCGGTCCTGGAGGAGGCTGGACAGACACCGTCACAGGCGTTGCTCGAACTGGCACGTGCCATGCCCAATTCGGCCAATTATCGCGGCAATAAGCGCTGGAATAACAATGGCAATGGCGGCGGCAATGCGACCGGCGTCTATCAGCAGCGCAGCAATCCGCTCAACTATCAGGCGGGCAACAGCATTGGACCCAACAATGGCTACAATAATCGCGCCAGCTATCAGCAGCAATATGCCGCTGGCGGCAACACTTATCAGCCGAATGGCAGCGGCTCCGGCGTTGGCGGTAACGTTGGCAATTGGAATCGCGGCGGCGCTGGATCCGCAATTAACCAGCAGCCGGGTGTCGATGGCGCCAATCGCAATGGCAGCGCCACTTATCGCCCCCGTGCGCCCTTCAACAATGGCGGACCGCGTGCCATAATGGGACATAATGGTGCTGCCGGCGGTGCTGGAGGTGCAGCTGGTGCCCACAATGCCGGTCAGCCGCATTTGGGTCAACAGGCCGGCGCATTTATGCCGCCAAATTATCGGGGACGTGGACAATTTGTACCGAATGCAGCGGCCGCTGGCAGTGGCATGCCACGTTTCCAACAGTTCCCAAAACGTGACTATCAACAACAACAGCAACAGCCACCGCCACACTATCAACAGCCGCAACAGCAAGGACAGCAAAAGCCAAAGCAACATCCTGGCGGCGATGATAAGACCTTTAAGGAATATGCACCGGCTGGTGTTAGCACACCGATGGTGCATTATACACCAGCCAATTCGCCGCCAATAGCGGCTGTTGCGGCCGCTGCAGCGGCTGCTGTTGCCGGTGGCGCTGGACGCGCACCGGTTGCGGCCGCACCGGGCACCGCATATATGTACGATGCGGCGGGCGTGCTGACAACAACCGCAGCACCTGGCACCAATCCCTATGCCAGTCAGTTCAATATGCCGGCCACCTATTATACGGCACAGCATCATCAGTTTGCGCCAGCCGTGGCTGGGCCCGGGCCGGGCGCTGCCATTGAGCAGGCTGGCCAGCATTAAGATGGCTCAAAAACCAGTCTTTCTATTTTCCAAGAGTCCACAACTGCAACACCCAAAATGAAGCGCAATTACAACAGACACATGCACCACAACAACAGACGAAGCCGAAGAAGCAGAAGAAGCAGAAGAAGAAAAGAAAACACAGACACACACACATGCACACCCCAAAACACACTTGAACACGCATAACGAATTAATAAACAGTCATAATTGTGAATCGACTAGAGAGTGACTCGACTCGAGTCGTTCGAATCATACAAGTTATACATATTCTATATGCATATATTTAAATGAATTATTTAATGAGCATTCATATGTGATGTAGAGGATGTCTATTTGCTTGTGTCTGCTCGATAATGATGTATATATGCAGTGTATACATAATGTAAACTGGTACGATTCAATCGATTCAATTTTACATCAACTGTTATTACACCACTGTTAAAGCTGAGCGCTGTTAATTAACAGCGGCACCAGCAACGTTCCAATGGGCAGGCAAGCAACTACAACAACAACAACAACGCGGACACAAATGGCAACAATTTACGAGTTTGAAAACAACAACAACAACAAAACCAACAATGAAAAAAATTAACAACAAATTTGCAGAAGCACAAGTTACTCCCTTTTTACTTAGAACTTTCGTATATATGCATATACATATATCCTAACTATACATATATAGATACGTGGATTTTCATTTCCATTGATATTTATTATTATTATTATTATTATTATTTTTTTTTTTTTGTGCAACACAAACACATACAAACAAACACACAGACTGCTTGAGTTATTCGCATGGCGGCAACTGCATCAGCGACAACATCAACAATATCAACAACAATAACAACAACAACAAACGTATAGGTAAGTAGAGACACCAAAGCTGAGCTTCATTGCGAGCATCAATATTGTTAACTGCACTCTCTCTCTCTCTCCCCCTCTCCCTCTCTCTCATGGACAATTCGGAATAGCTGCAGAGACCGATAACAGCGCCGTTATAACTGTCGCCTTGCTGTTAACCACAACATTTATGCAACGCTCCGTACAAAAGAACTGCAACAACAGTTAATAACTAGAAATATTTATCTAGTTTTTAAGCAATCTCCGCTCGCGAGCAGCAAATTGCATGTTCTTCGAATGTTAAAGAGTTAAGTGATTATAATGATTTTTTCTGTTCATTTGATTTTGAAAATGTGCTAAATATTTTTTTTTTTTTTGTTAACCAACACTTACACACACACACGACACACACACACAAACACACATTCACGAAGCACAAACACCCATACACACACACACACACACACACCCACATTTTTTACTAATCACAAAATTTGTTATGCATATTGTCAAATCATACTTTTAAGGTGCTATACACAAAAAGCGTATACATAAATATCAACAAGATAAACCACAACATCAAGATATTTTAGTAATTTGTTAAAGACACACACACACACACACACACACGCACACACACATGAACAAACACACATACGAAAATTAACAGAAAATTGTATCAAAAATGAGAAAAGAACATTTTTAAAACCTTTTCACTAACTTGGTTGGTATGAAATTAACGGTTTGCTTATATAATATATACAAAAATGATAAACACAAAATATTTCCATAATAACAAATTAAGCTAATAATACTCAACAAGCTGAAAACATATAAATTCTGATTAAATATTAATATACAGACACACATGCAAGAACATTCACACACACACGACACACACACACACACACGTCACATACACACATACGACACACACACACATACCGCACACAAAGAGAGAAATGCAGCTAATCGTTTTTCGATGAAAGTAAAATTGCGAAAGCGCACCGGAAATTCAAAATGGAATATTTAGAAATTCGTAAATGTTCAAAAACATAAAATCCCAGCAAAGGGCAAAAAAGCAGCGCTGCTTTGGTAGAAGTATGTAAACGAATCTAAACAACAACAAATACAATGAAATATGTATTGGAAAAAAAAAAACACTTTAATGTTTGAGTAATATTTATATAAACTTTTTTTTTTCATATATTTTTTTTTTATTTTTAATATATATATATATATATAATCATGCATATATTTGCTTGGTATGCGTATCTTGAGGTTGAAAAAGAAAAAGGCGAAATGCGATTTTAAATGATTTTTTTTTTGTTCTTCTTCTTCTTCTTTGATGTAAACCAATTTGCGTATGCGTAAAATGAAAAATGTTCACGCTGATATATTCACATTCGTAAAAAGCCAATGCTAATATTATTTTTATTTTTTCAAAAGTTCTATGCAAATACTGAGAGAAATGAAAAGTGAAAGAAAAGAAAAATGTTGAAAATTGAATTAATTTAAAGGCAATAAGAATATTTACAACAAAATGCAAGAATTATAAGAAAAAGAAAATACGCCACATTCATCCATAAGTTAATTAAATATGTACAATGCAGAACACAACCAACAGACATTCACAAAAGCAAAAAAAAATAACAATTATAATAATAATAACAACAACAACAACAACAACAATACAGAACAGGAATGCATATATACATATATATATATATATATATATATACATATATCGAATTATTTCATATTTTTTTTTTAGCGTAGTTGCCAGAGGTTTCATTTTCATTGATCATCATTCTTACATCATATTAGTATGTATCATATGTATGCAACTTTTCATATTGTTAGCCAACAAGTTTTCATCGAGAAGCCCCCTCCCCTCCGCCTATCCCCTCCCCTTGATATTCCAACATAGAAGCTAATTAGTTAGGCCATGTTGGTCCGAAAGTTGTTGCCCAAAAACGAAAAACCTGTTGGAACCGCAATATGTTTGCTTTACCTTCTGCCCGAATCGCAGGTAAAATCTTTAGTATTAAACAATTTTCTAAGTTCATCCTCAAAACGGAAAAGCAGTACAAAGCTAGCGAAAGCAGAGAAAATAGCAAAAAAAAAAAAAAAAAAAATAATAAATAAATAAATAAAAATATCAGTTGAAGAAAGGAAACAAGTTAAGCAGTAAAGAGAGACAGGACACAAGGGAAAAGTACGTAGAGTATGTTGTTGTTGTAACACAGCGAAATTTCTTTCTTTATATATATATATATATATAACATATGTATATATATATGCAATGATTTATATACATATATGTGTATGTCTTAGGAATATAGAAGAAATATAAGACAACAAAAGTATATATCAGACCACATGGATCTCCTTGTAACAAAAACTACATTTAAAAGAAGAGAAAATACATACATATTTACGCACAGACACACACATACGTATATATATATATTTATGTGTGTGTGAGCGAATACCATAAGTGGAAGACATTGTTTATTATAATTATGATAATTATTTTGTTTCATTTTGTTCTGTTTATAATTCTAATTTTGTATTTTTATTTTTTAGTTTTTCTATTGAACTCTCATACGCTTAAATTGGTTTTCATTTCATTTTGTTGTTTTAGAAGCTGAAAACTAAATACTATATTATTTTTTATATGTATATGTATACACAATGTTACTAAGTGAAAAAATCGACCCAGGCATTGCCGGTGTTGTGTTGGCCCAGTTAGAACTCGCCCTCCCGGCCAGCCCCGCCCAACCGCCCGCCCGCCGGCTGTCTAGGCATTTTTTTATGCAACCGAATTGTGATGATGTGATAGACTTATAAAAAATACTAATTAATAAACAATTTAAAACGTTGAAGAAAAAAAAAATGAAAAACAAGCGAAAAACAAAAAAAAAAAAACAAAAAACAAATGAAGTAACAGCCCAAGCCCCGACACAGGCTGAATATATATGTTATGTATTTGTATTATTGTCATGTATATATATATATTTATACATATATATATATATATATATACACACTATATATATATATATAGACAATGTCTGATGGCTAAACCAGAGCCAATGCTTTATGGCTATTAAATATGTATTATGGATGATATGAGGCACACATTCTTTTTTTTATTTAAGAAACAAAACCTTTAAAGTGCGATATTTGTATTGTATTACCTATAAGTTGTTGTGAACACACACACACACACACACACACACACATGCACAGACACACCAAGACACAAGAACACACACGCATATACATACAGAGTTAAACGAAACAAAAACACAAAACAAAAAAAAAAAGAGAAAAAGTTGAAACTGATAAAATTTAAGCGTAACTAACTGAAAAGATGCAACGAAGAAAGAAAAAAAAACAGCAAAAAAAATTGAAAAAAAAGTTAATGAAAATTTACCGCAACTTGTAAAGATGAGGCAAACATTTTGCTAAACTTTACTCAGTCTCTCTCTCTCTCACTTTCTGTCTGTCTCTTAAACCATTTAACTTACTGTGTCTGTCTCAGTCGCTCTCTTATCTATATAAAATTATATATATATATGTATATATTTTTACAAATATATATATATGTACATATACAAAAATGATATAGAACATATATTTTTGAAAGTATGAAAAATGCAACTTTTGAAAAAAACCAAAAAGTAAACAAAAACTACGCAACGCAACGTAACGTAACATAATTGCAACGTAACGTAACGTAACGGATCGCTGACGTTTCGATTCGTGTTTGTTTAGTAAAAGAAAAGAAACAAAGCAAAACAAAAATAAAAAAAACGCAACAAGCAGCCAAAAAAAAAAAAAACGATGAAACAAAATATGCCGTTATTATAAATATATGTATTTTGTATGATCGAATTGATTTCTCTGTAAATGATTTTTCTGTGTATTTACTTTGCTTCATTTGTTTTAAATATCATTCATTTTGTTTTTATATACCTTTATATATATATATATATATATATATATACACAAATATACATACATACCATATGTATATAAACCTAGAACTACATGCAATACAATACATACATTTATCAAAAGCCAGCCGCTGGTTATGAAGTGAGTGAAAATGCATTTATACAAAACAATTGACAGCGCACAATTGCCAAAAATGCACACACAGAGACACACACACACACAGAGACACACACACACACTATACACATACATACTACAGACATACTTTTAAGCGCCAAGGTTAAATGCACCTTTTTTCAAAAAACAAACAATTTTCACACAAGCAAATCAAACAATTACAGCTAAAAGAAAAAAAAAAACAAAAACAAAAAATAACAACAAATTGGCAAAGTCGAAACCTAAAGAAACTGTTAAAATTAAATAAAACCAAACAAAAAAAAAAAAACGTAGGCAGCATTGTAAGTGATAAGGAAAATTTTGAAATTTTGGCCGCATAATAGCTAAAATGGTATGAAAGGTATAGAGTAAAGCAAAACCAAAAAAAAAAAAAAAAAAACAAAAAACAAAATGGCAAAGCAAAGGAAACAGTAAGAAGTTGAGAACGTGGCAGAAAACGTGAAACCCAATTGTGATACAGTTACAAAATAATAAAAAGGCATGTGTAGAAATACGTAGATACATACGTTAAATGTTAACATTGCTCGTGTATCAATTTAACATAAGTACATATGTATGCATATATACGTACATACATACATACATACATGCATACTTATATCGGCAATGACATTTGACGATGACAATTGACGATAATCGATATACACGAAATATTTATTATTGTCATCATATTGTATTTCGGCAAACAAATTGAGCAGAACGTTCTAAATACTTCAATATATGAACTTACTAAATATATACTTCTAATAAATCATAATATTAAAAAGCAAGCCAACAATTTATACAAACTAGTTTTTAAAACCTCGCACACTAACAGTCACACACACACACACCCACACACCCACACACACACAGATACACCTCTTGTCACATGTATAAGCTATTTGGTTAATTTGTATGGGGAATAACATATGTATGAGAAATTTTCTTTATATATATATATATATACAAATGAATTTTTTTTTTTTAATATATTTGTTGTCTTAGCAAAGAAAAAAAAAAAACAAAACAAAAAACGAAAGGATAACAAAAACAAATACAATTTGTGTAAGCAAATGCAGATTCTTAGCCATTTCGAACGAGCGTGCATTTAAACATACATATACAGATGCATACAAACAAACAAACAAACATACATACACACATGCATACATACATGATTGATGTATGATGTATTTAAGATGTAAACAATGAAAAGATGTTAACTAAAACTAACGAAAGATTGATTCAAAGATTGTGTATTAAACACGCTGGAAACGTATGCAGTGGACAAAATGTAATTCGAAAAAAAATAAAAATATAAAAATACAAACGAAAAAAAAAGAAATTGTAAACATGCTAAAGAAAAACTTACTTATTTAAATAAAATGTTTAGAGCTTAAGTACACACACACACACACACACACACACACACACACAAACAATGCACACACA